CTTTACATATTCCCTCTTCACCAGAAGTAGATTACAGTTTACATAAACTTTTCTCTGTCTGATTATTTCTCCCTTTACAATTGCTTGTGCGCACACATGTCTGCAGATGTACATCGTGGTTTTACTGAATAAGAATCACCTGTCACATTCTGCAACACTCAAGCAAAAACCAATTAATTACGTTATGAAATATTGTCCCATGGGTTATTTGCATAAATAATTTAAATTTGTTGTGGCAGTTTACAGAGAAAAATAACAAAACAAACAATGATAGTCCAAGTACGGCTTTTTAATCCTATATCCTTATCCTTTAATCCTATATTTCTTGTGCCAAATCCTGCTCTTTGTTAATCCCATGTAATTTTGCTGCCTTTGCGACGTTCTCAAAGACTCCAAGGTATTGTCTTGGGCAAGTCATTTAATCTGTCTCTTTCCAGTTATAAAATGGGGGGTGTTCACCTCTTTTCATTAAGGTTTGAAAAGTGTTTTGAGACCCTAGAAGGGAATGCATCATAGAAAAATTATTATTCAGTATTGCTTGACTGTGTGTAAATTAAGGTGGAATTTGATCCTTGGTGTCCATGGGATATTAGTTTGAAAAAACAAAACAGATTTCTAGTACATTGGATGCTAAGACTACAGGATAATACAGTGTTATATTGTAAAATGTCTTGGGGCTGTATCTCAAATTGCTATACAGAATTAGATAATATAACAGAGCCAAATAATAGCATGCACAGACAGAAAACGGAAGGTGTAGAAGTGACAAAGCATGGAACTGTGTGTGCATTCACTGACTGAGAGCAGAACAGTAACTGGTAACACCTACCTGCTTCTTTCTTTTAATACAGAACAACGTCTTATATGGGGGACAGGCTGCTTTCCCATGCCTGGTGATGTTGGAGACTGCTAGTTAGTATCCCATTAGAGCAAACTTTTGAAGTTTGTCCAAAAATGGGGGTTGTTTTTGTTTTTCTTTCCATTGTTTGGGTGAAGAGGTATTAGAGGTTTCCATGTGTCTGGAATTGTGAAAGGGGGAGATGAACATGTGAGGGCCTGTGCTGCTCTCATAGCAAAGCGTGGGCCTCTGGGTTCTCTGCCATAGCATGCATCACTGCTAGCATGGAATTTCAGTGCAGACAAATGCAACCAATCCATTTTCATGCCTGAAAGAGAGAACCATGGATGTAGAACACAACACTACCAGTTGTTCTGGCTGTAGAATCTGGAAGGAAGATTAGCAACTGTAACTAAAATCACAATTATAGATGTCATTTGTGTTCTGAGAAACTATACAGAGTACTAACTGAAAGATAAATGGAGAAATGTGATCATCCTCACAACTGGCTACAACCAAAGGGAAATAACTGTATCAAGACCTACATCCCAGATATTTATAGGTTCTTTGGTGCTTAGTACGGTGACCAGATGTCCCGATTTTATAGTGACAGTCCCGATATTTGGGGCTTTTTTTTATATGGGCTCCTATTACCCTCCACCCGCATCCCGATTTTTCACACTTGCTGTCTGGTCACCCTAGTGCTTAGTATCTTGGAGAACTTGTTCAAGAGGTCTTCCTTAAAGAAAGAAAGATGTTGTTCTGATGTGGAAGTTCCTAGGCAGCCAGGAGGGTTGCCTGGAGTAGATATTGGACAGCTGGTGGATCAGGGACAGTGGAGTTCTTGGAATAGCTCAAGAGATCTCTCTATCTGCAGCTTGTTGGTGTTTGGATAGGACGTGGAATGGATGGAACTGGAGTGACTGTTGGTGCTTCCTCCCTGCAAGGATCTGCAGGACTACAGTCTGGGTCTGCAGAGTCTGGGGCAGCTGACATTCCCACGGTGCCACTGGGAGGCCACATAGAACCACGTCTAAGAAGCACCATGGAGAAGAAGCGCTGCAGGACGTACCATCTAAAGGGTCCAGAGTAACAGCACGCTGCAGCCTTTTGATTGGCTCATGCTCACTATTTACCCCTGGAGGGTGCCCCAGGAAGTTGTCTGACCTCTGGCTTGCTGTGATTCCAGACCTCACTTTGCTTTCTGATCTCTGGTCTCTGACCCCCATGTCAGACTCTGACCCTGACTCTTGCTTCCTAATTCCATCCTGATAACTACCTCTCTCTGATCTCTGGTCTCTGACCCCGGCCTGACTCTGACCCTGGCTCTTGCCTATTGATCCTGGCACTAGCAATTACTCTGATCCCTGTGTGCTGACTACCTCCTTGTGACCGTTCTTTACTTGATAACACCAGCCCCCTGTGACCATTAGGCTAGATGGCCTACACCCTACATCTTACACTTTCTCCTCTGTTGGCTGACTGCAAGCCAGATGTGGAGAGCAGGGAGGGATGGAGGAGTCAATAAGGTTCTCTGCTCATCCTGTGCCATGCTATCCTCAGTGGCTAGAAGGCTGAACTGCAGGGGAAATCCAGGTTGCCTGAACTGTAGCCCTGTTGGGTATGAGACTCCACAGTGATGTGGGCAGGTGTGACAGGGCTGTCAAATGCATGTATGTCTATAATATACATGGTATAGGGCAATGCTCATCTCTCATCATGCGTTTTTAAAAAGGAAATTTCAGTGAGGTTTTTGTCAAAAAAATTTGACTAAGACTTCTATCAAAAACACTGGAAATTGTCTTTATTCAAAAATTCACATTAAAGTTAAACAAGATAAAATTTTATTCCATGGAGGTTGACGTTCTTCTGCTATAATAGGAGAGAGATTGAGAGGAACAGACTTATTCCACACCAACTGGAAAAGAAACATTTACCTCATTGCAGGAATGATGTTTCAGATGTTTTGCCAAAAGGCATTATATGTTTGAGCTAGAGTTAGTGCTCAAGCAATATCAATCTCTCAACACCTAAAAGGTGACAAAGGTGACTTTATATCAACATCAAGGAAGCATAATCATCAATCAATGAAACAGAATCTTGAGTGTTCAATGTAGTAATGAATTGTTAAGAGTGATTAGCTAGTTCTTGCTATGGTCCCAGAAGATTTGGAGGGAAAGATGGGGGAGCCAATACTGAAGTGGATTTTAGAGCTGGAAAAAATGAAAGTAAAAGGATCACATTTAAAGTATAAATCTCTGTGCAAAATACAATTTAACTAACTCTCACTAACAGTGACGGGTTGGGTTGCCAACCCTGCAGGATTGTCGTGCAGTCTCCAGGAATTAAACATTAATTTTTAATTAACGACTAAGTCATGTGATGAAACCTCCAGGAATACGTCCAACCAAAATTGGCATCCCTACTGATGGGGGAAGTAAATGCCTGAGCTAACCTTTTATTTTCTTTGTTAGACTATTCAGTGATATGTTAACTACAGTATAAATTAAACCAATAAACATTACTCTTCGTAGCCTGTGTTTGGGAGGAAATTGCTTATAGCTTCATGCCCATTTGAATAGGTTCCCCTTCCTTTTCACACACACACACACACACACACACACACACACACCCCCTAGAAATTTCCACTACACACAGAATATTTGCTGTCTTTAGGCCGCAGCATAGTTTCTTAAAGAAACATGATAATGCCCAGCCAACTGAATTTATGCATCTTTTAGCATGCATTAAAGAAATAATGTTTTAAATGATATATTTACATTTTTACCAATTTCAAAATACTTTCAGCAAATTTTATTTAGTCCCACATTCATTTTCTAATATTGGCACACTGGAGAAGGGTTGTGAGAATATAGGATAGCTTAGATGTGGAAGCAAGAAGGCAACAAAGTATGGAGTGGCTATTACTTATATTAATTTGAATCCTATCTGGAGGAAATGTTAGTGGGTAGGTATATAGTAGGCTTCTGAATGAACATATAAGAAAGGTTCCTAGTGTAGTATGGGTAGTAAAATAAGACCCAAGAAACTATCCTGGCTTGGGGAAGAAAACTTATATCCAAGACTCTCACCTGGATCACTGCTTAGACCCAACTGGCCTGTCCCTGCATGCAATGCATACATTGACAACTATCTTGTGCAGGAATACTAGGTGACTTTTCCCCCCCAGATGCAGTCCAAGTTCCCGAATGGAAAGATCAATTCCAGTGTGTTGACGGTTATACCAACAGATACTTTTTCTTTCCGTCCTGACTGTAATTTCAGAAGTTACATTGTGGGTACAGCGCAGAGAATCAAAATGCCACCTTACTTGACAAAGGTTGTGTACTGGCCAGAGCCAAAAGAAATGTGAAGGGAAAAAATGGGGGGAAATTTAAAGAAGAGAGTGTTTTCAAATGTTTCCTAAGAATTTATATGGAGAATTCAGTTGTTTTCTGGAGAGTTATTGTGGTAAATTCAGAGACTACGTTAAATCATTAAAGTGAGAAACTGATTATAATTCTGTTGTAAGTGTAAACCTCAACACATCTTCACTATGAATCTGCTTCTGATGTCTCTAATAATCGTCCACACATATGTACACACGTGCGTGTTGCCATGTTTCATCATATCTTTTTTTTTTGTACCGAACAATATTCAGCAATCTGTTCTACAGCTATTTTAATTTTTATAAATAATCCTGGGCCAGAATTCTGCTTGACTTACTCACATGAAACATTGATTCCAAATGTGTTTTATATAAATAGCGTGAGCAGGATTTGTGATGTTTTTCTTATATGATTTCCCCCACCTCATGAAGTTACCTATAGGGCATTGATGGTAATATGGAGTCTTATAAGTTAAGAGATGACCTATTGTGTATGCTAGATTGAGATGTAAATTAATAAATTAACCATGTACAGGAGAGATGAGAAGGAAACTAGATACAATTTAGTTCTTATAAATAGTCTTATGAGTCAAGTTATAGAGGTGCTTAATAAGAATGGAGCCTGGAGGTAAAGACCTGGTATAACTGAGAAAATATGTGTTCTACTTCCATTTGCTCTGTCCAGAGAAAACAGTGACTTTGAAGTGGAAGAATATTAATCTGTTGTAGTCATGGGGATATTAATACAGTTTTTTCCCCTTTGACTTTTTCCAGCACACTGATTTATGTCAGTACATGGACAAACATCCTGGAGGACTTCATCCAGACAATGTGAAGGTAAGAGTTAAAAGGACACTTTCAAGCAGAATATAGTAACAGTAAACTTGTGTTGAAGGTAGGGTGAAATATTTCATTGAAGCTTTTCTCCTTGGTAGATAAAGGAAAATTAGTGGCCAAGTTAATTTTATTGATGTTGCATTTTTTTCTTCTTTTTAAATGAAAATGCAATTGTAATTTAAACACTCCCACAACAGAACAATGGGAACAGTGTAAATAGATGGTGAGCCAAAATTAATGTATAAATATTGTTTTAATGTGGTAGAACACACTTTGCTTGCTTGCTTTGAAGATAAGAAATAGTGCCCTCCTCCAACCCCCAAAACACCCTTGACTGAAATATTTTAAACTGTCAGGGACAAAGCCTCAGCTAGTGTAAATCAGTATAGATTCATTGACTAATCAATGGTATATTGATTTATAGTAGCTGAATATTTTGTCCATAATGCTTTTTAAAAATAAATGCAGTATAAAAACTTTCAACTGTCATTTTTATCGAGTAGTTTTAAGACATAACTTTATTTTATTTTTGTTTATAGAAAGTCAGATATTGAGTATCACACAGTATGCATCAAAAGATGGATATTTGTATTATTTGGGCTTAATGAAAAGGCGGGGGGTGGGGGAGAATGATCTTCTGACATTTCGATTCAGTCACCTTCTAGGAAGTCAGCCAAATTATTTTAGCATAAAACAGAAGCCAATCAGACATGCAAAGTTTGTCTTACTTGTACAGACCACCCAGGTAATATTTGTTGAACTTGTTTTGTGCTTTGACACTGTGCCCATTGTTCTGCTGCTGTGGAAATTTTTAAATCCCCACTTACTATGCTGAGAATTTTACTCCAGCATTTGGCTTTTTAAAAGGGGGGGGGGGGAAGAGAGGGAAATAGAAGAGCTCATGAAAAAAAGTAAAGATTTTCCCATGGAAAATTCAAAAGGTGTTTTTAAAAGAGTAAAAATAAAAGATTTTTTTAAAAAGGAAAGAATCTGATTATTTAAATGTATGAGGTACAGTGGTGATCACAGTAGTATAATGGTCATTTGATTAATTGTCCCTTGTTTCCACTAAAATTACCATCTACAGTACATAATTGTAGCTCAATGTCTGTGTGGATCGTAATAGCTTTTTAAAGGATGAAATCTTCCTTTATTGTGCTTTTGGTATTTTCATATGACAAATATAAAGTGATTCTTATTGAAACTATGCTCTGTGCATGCTACAACAGTACGCATGTTTTAAGCATTGTTGTGATCCGTGGTTGTGGTGCAAATAAGTTGCCTGTGTGTACAGAGAAAAGTATGTAGCAACCATGTTAAGGATTTGTTTAATTTAGACAACCTACCAGCCAACTACCAGGAGCCATTTTTTGTTGGTGCTGCTGGCTCTGTCACACTTGCTGCATAAGTTTGGGGTGGGGGAGGAGGGCCTACTTCACATCCCAAAGACCCTTCAGGGTTTTAGGGGTGTAGTGGTCCTGCCTGGTGGCCTTATGAAGATACCAGAGAGGAGAGTGGGCCTCCAAAGCACTGGGGTGTGGGGCTCAAACTTTTCCTGTCACACCCCCCTCCTTAACAATAGCAGAATCTGTCCACTTCTTCCCCACTTCCCCCCCCACCCCCCCGCATTACTGCATAGCTGAGACTTCCTCAGCAGTGGAGCTTGGGTTGAAGGCAGAGCTGGGAGCGGAAGTGGGGATGGGGAAGGAGCTGGGGCTAGAGGTGGAGCTGGTCTGGGGACGGATAGGAGGGTGGACCTGGACCTGGAGGCGAAGCAGGACTGGGAGATGAATGGGTTGGAGGTGGAGCTGGCCTGAGGGTGGAGTGGGGGTGGAAGCCCCAGCCCCACCATATGCCCCGCCCCACAAATGTTCCTCTGTGCCCCTCTAAGGGGGTGTGCCTCACACTTTGAGAACCACTGCTCTTAGTAAAGGTGGGAGGGTTTGTGTGTAGCAGAGGGCTGCTACCATCTATAGTTTTAGCAACTTTGGGTAAGTATCCAGATTCTGAAATGTTTAAGGTTCCCACATCACTAGGTCTATATGTAATTTTTGTTAAAGTGGTTAATATTGCTTTGAAAAATGTGTTTGTATTTACTTTCCCTGTGTGGAAGCTGGCTTACATTATGCTCTCCAATGGGGTTGACAGACAACAGGGTGTATGATTTAGTGTGGATGCCCAGACCACTTCTGGAGGTGGCTCCAAAAGTCATACATTCTTGGCATTTTCTGTCACCGCCTGCCATTGTGTATGTCTATGTCTGTATCTCTCTCCTTCCTGTTTTCTCTCCAAAATTGACAATGCGATGGTTGTCGTAGTTCTTTGGCAAATTTCAAATGTGTGGCATTTTGAAATCTTGACATTTTGAGCTAGAAGTGGATTTCACAAACTACTCTGTGAGAATATTTTGAAATTTCAGGAAATTTTGATGACTCATAAAACAATATGAAACACATTGGTAGTAAATGTTGAGTGAAATTTGGCATCTCTCCCCCCCCCCCCCCCCGTGCTGCAATCTCTTAGAGAAACATTCTTCAGCTAGAAAATAAGCCGCATCATTTCCTCCTAGAACTATAGTTATCATTTCATGCGTCTCTTACAAGTAGCTGGGCTGCAGTAACTTCATTCCCTGCAGATTCTCTCTCCTTGCTACTCTCTCAATACTAATTCTGTGAGCACGTTCTTGAGCTATCTCGGTCATTATTAAACAATGAATTAAATACACCTGCTTATTTTGCAAAGTGTTACAGATTCTTTAACTTTCAGCTGGACAACCATCTAACATAAGCCAAAAAGACTTCCAAAGTCCTTTCAATTCATGAGAGAGACTCCCCTTGACATCAGTGGGCATTGGATCAGGCCATTAATGTCTCATCTGAAGGACAGAGGAAATCTTTGGAATCAAATAAGCCAAATAATAGTCTCTCCATTTTTTCTTCAATGTATCTTTCCTGTATGTATCCTTACGCCCACAATGGTAAATGGGTTAAATAAAAGAAATAAGGGGAAATGTTTCAATATCTTTCCCCTACAATGTTTTTTAAACCCATTTTCATAATGGGCAAAATATTACAGGCTTCAGTTGCAAAGGCAGTCAATGCCCTGATAGACTGATTCGAAAATTCCATATTTCTCTTTATTAAGGGAAAAAACAGAACAAACTGCCATGCTTGAGATGCAGCTTTGCCTGACTTGTTTACCAGGGATTACACACTGCCTAGAACTCTAAAACAGACAAATCTAGTAGCTGAAAAATGTAGCTGCAAGAACATGTATAGCTATATTCTCTTTCTTAGTTTGCAGCCCAAACTCCCTTCTGTCTATCTCTCTAGCCTTCCTCTCTTAAATTCCTCACGTTGGGTTCTTGTGAAGAAACTGAAGAAAATTTGAGCCCAGTGTCCTGCCTGAGTGGTTAAGCTGGGCAATAGGGAGATGGGCAGGGGGAAGAGCGAAACAGGCATGTCCACATATATGTGTGTGTGTGTGTGTGTGTGTGTGTGTGTTTAATATCCCAAGGCTGCAGAGGGGTTGCATTGTGCAATCAGAGGCTTAAGGATGAAACCGTCATTGCATGTATAACTCGTGTGTGTGGGGAGAACATGAGAATTCACAAAGCCCCATCTGTCTCTCTTCATACCAGTGTACAGGGAACCACCCTAGAGCTGAGCTCATCACTGGCCAGGCTGTGCGTGGCCTTTCTGTGCTTTGCATGTCTACTCCAATTCCCGAACTCCAGTTGTATTGCGAGGAGACCCTATACAATAGCTGAGGCAGCATCAGAATTGGCCCATTCATATAGCTCCTAGTTGAGCTTCCAACTTGCAGACATGTTTCAAGGCTACTCAGCTGTTTCTCCAGTTTTGCTGCATACTTTGGCTGGGCTGGGAGAGAAAGCAGCACCATCCCTTTAAGCCCTGCTGCTAATGCTTCTCTTGCAGTAGAACTTCAAAGGAAAACTGCTGGTTACCCTGTGTCAGGGATCAGGGCGTGGATGGTCTTGCCTCATGGTTGGAGGAGGGGTTGGTAGCCTGGAATAGGTCTCCGGGGGCCAGATGCTGGAGCCAAGGGTCAGAGCTGAGGTCACAAATCAGAGCCGCAGGTCGGAACTGAATTACCTGGAGTGAGGCAAGGCAGGGGCATGCCTGGGAACAAGCAGGCACAAGGGTTATTGCAGCCGTGGGCAAATGCTTTGAATAGCCAGCATCCCGCTGCTGGTCTTAAGAGCAAGTCTGTGTTGATCCCCTCAGCCAGTTGCACGATTTGGTCAATCAGGAGAACTCAGTTGGGGTCCAGCTGTGCTCCTAAGATTGCCTGCAGGTAAGCTAGCAGGTAAGGAGTCTAACTGCAAGCCCAAACTCCTGACACCCTGCCAGCCTAGTCACAACATTCAGCAATGCTGAAGAAGCAGCTGGACAGCTTTGAAATGTGTCCTTGAGTAGGGAGTGAAACTAGGAGCTGCATTTAGATTCTTTAGTTGATGTAAGAACTCTAGTTCAGGAAGTGTGTTAGGGGAAAGGAGAGCAGGAGGAAAAAGAAAAGCAGAGGGGGAGGAGCGGCAGTTTAAAACTGGCCACCTTTCTCTCCTAGCTGACCTCCTGATTCCAGCAGCCCCTCACGGGACACTTTTTAAACTCTCTTTTCCATGTAAAAAAACCCATAAAACTAATTTTTTGTGTATTTAATATTCCCAGTTTAGTTTCCCTAGCAAGAGGGAGATGAAAATGGCCCAAAGGACACAAACAGTAGAAAAACTAGGCTCATGGAAAGTAAGAGAGGAGGTTGTGCAAGCAAAAAAAGACACCTGAAAGAAGGAAAAGGTTAACAAACGATTTTACAAGAAATCTAGTCAGAATTGCCTGAAGTGGGTGTTTATATTCTTTCCTTCCACTGTCAAGTACTTTCCATGGTGGAAGGAAATATTGCAAAAATCCTTCCCCAGATCAGTTTTTAAAATATAATTTCAAATTAAGCAATGATACTCTAGTAACAGTAAGCCATGC